GAAATAAAGAAAGCAGGTGGACAAGTGGCACCTGTAGTTATAGAGCTGTAGCGATTCAATAGCAGAGCACACAATGAGAGCATACTGTGTGTAATACCTGCTGGTATAATAACAGCAAGAGATCCACATTGCAGTTCACTAACCCAACAATTCTGTCAATTACAGCTGCTTACTCCTTTTTAGGATGTAGAACCAGAATAAAGCCCTGCCAGACTGCGCTCAGCCATCCATTGCCAACATTCAGCACAGGATGCAAAAAGAACCATCTGTCCATCAAAGGTCCCCTCCATTATTAATTATTCATGTCAGAGTTGGCCAGCTGAATTTGGATTCATAGTTATAGAGTTTCTCTGTTTTATTATAAATAAATGCCTTTTTGAAAGGAACCTTTCTACAATAAATTAAAATCAAACCTCTCAGCAAAGTGAACAAACCTAAATAATGTATAGAAAAGAATTATCCAACCTGTGAATCAAAGGATGGTTGTTTAAAGGAAAATGTATCTCTACAAGGTGGAGTTGTTGCTGTTGAAATAGACAGGCGAGGAAAAATGCATTGTTGCAGTTATTCATTTATGTTGAGGAATTTTCGTATATCCTCACACATTACTGTATATACCACTATATACCGTATTATGTATATATAGTGTATATCACATCATATCTGTAAACCATAAAGAGAAGACTGGCTAATTCCACAGATACTCTCTTCTCTGTCTAAGCAGTACCCAAGATCAGGTTAAAGATAAAGGACCAACCACGGTACATTGTAGTGTCTACACTTAGAGACATTCATATCTAACTCAGATGCACCAGACAGAGAGACACCAACTTCAACTCTTTTGCATATTTCACCAGGAACAAGACGTAAGAACACAATGTGGTTTAAGAATGCATATTTAGATTTAACTATCCAATAGGATGCAAACACCTACATGTCACATAGAGAGTGACATCAATTCTAGCCATTCATTGATGTGCTGTTAGAATGGGTGACCGAAGTAGAGGGAGATATATGGGGATGCTGTGTGAGACATCTTCAGACTTGGAGGTGACAGTTGCTCATGTTACTTTGTTAGTGTTTGTATATTGTTCCACCTTCTGGTCTCCTTGATGCATCAAGTCTAAATTAAACTCTTCTGCATGAGACATCAGCTGCTGCCTGAGTTCTCCTTTCACCAGCTGCCAGGAAACTTCCAGAACAGTTTATAATGTGGCAATACTAATTGTTCAGACTTTTGCTTTTCAAACAGACTCTTTTCCTCGTGTTTCATCAGTATTTAATGAACCTCTTCACATTGCCTAACCTTGTCTAACTGGTATCTCTGACAAAAAACCCAGAGCAAACCCAGTAACAATGTCTTGTAAAATATATAGTCCGTTATATAGTAAACTTGCCAATTTCGTGGTGTAGTGGTGTCCCAATGTTAGGTGAAATGTGTAGACCCTATATTGTGCCACAACTGAGAGGTGCCAGGTAGAGCTGGTTTATAATTATCTGTGTGGCTTTTACCACTAGAGGCTCCTGTCAATGAATTTATCCAGTCAGGTAATCCATAAAAATATTGATTAGTAGCTATAAAGCTTGACAGTGCAGTAAGTAATGAAATAATCAGTTGCCATGTCATAACAATACTACGACAAGGCCTGGGATTATCCCTTATTAATAATAATAACCCTTTTATTCAATCTTTAGGTGCAATACTTTCTGAATTGTTACAACCCAATGTATATTCTCCACTCTCATGTGCAATATCACTGTGAATTTTCAGGTATATTTGTATATTGTTTACATTTTTCTTTATATATATTTTTATTTGTCTCTATCCTAATGCCCTTCTGCTGCTATAATGTTGAAATTTCCCCAGTGTGGGATGAATAAAGTCGATCTTATCTTATCTTATCTTTATATTCTATGGTTGAGGGCGTTTTCATTAAAGAATCACGTTCAGCACAGTCTACACCTTCACTTTGCGGCTATGGCTGGATTAGAGGTCACCTTAGTGCACAAGAGCAAACCACTGTGAGACTGTGTTGTTTGAGGATGGAGGAAAATAAGCTCCTGTACAGCTGAACAATTTAGATTGAATTTTATTCTGGGTGGATTTCTCTCTCTTTGTGGTCCTTTTGAAAGTTAGTAACCTTTAGAAGTAGAGCACTGCTCATGTAAAATTCAAATAGCCTTGAAGCTGGCTATATCTGTCAGTGTCTGTTTGTATCCAGTGCGCCATGTGCTCCTACCTGGGAGACGGGAACCGTGGACATTTTGACACGTTGTTGAAACAGCACACTCAGTATGCGGTTTTGCTGCTCCAAGTCAAACACTCGGGTCCGCAGCTTCACACATTCTTCTTTCAAGTCCTGTACACATCCCAAAGAACAGGAAAATGGACAGATCATGGTGACTACCAGGATATTTCAGAGAACAACACATGCACCAGATGTTAATTCAACAGCTGCAGGAAACAAATGCTGTATTCATACAAGATGCATGACAGCAGAAAACATCCACAGACAGTTATCATTAGAATTTTGATGGAGGAGTCTTCACTTGAACATGATTATATTATGTGCATAATCACTGTTGTGCATTTGAAGTGATCATACATTTTACATGCATCTTCACCATCACACACACCTGATGGCTGCAGTTACTTTACAGCAGTGGTCACCAACCTTTTAAAGCACAAGATCACTCTTTAATTCAAAACGTGAGCTGAGATCTACCACCCCGATGTCTTGCAAAAAACCCACTGAGGAGGGTCATATTTATTATTTTAGTATGAATTCATGCATCTTCAGCTCCTGCAAATATTTCACAATGAAAAACTTTTTGAACAAAAGAATGGATTCGGTCAACAGAAACGCTGGAGTGCTTTTGTTTTGTGTTTGTGACATAAATTCAACAGATAAACATTCAAACTCAGGTGAAAGATCATTTTATTCCGCAGTGAAACACAAAGTTGATCTGTCCAAGTCACAAACGTATTTACAACACTTCTTGAACCCGTTTCAAAGTAAAAGCACTCCCGCGTTTGGCTTCTGAATCCATTCATTTGTTCTAACAGGGCTTTGATTGTTGTCAACAGACCAGAAGATGCAGGACTTCATACCGTAGAGTCCTGACATTTAGTTCAGTGCATAATCCGACTTGTATTGAAGGAAATGCAGGAGATAAACCTGCTGCTCCGCCACCAGTAGCGGACACACAGCGGGTGTGAACAACAGACAACAGATCCACAGCTGATCTGCCGCTTGACCGCAGACTGTGAGTCCAGAGAGTTACAGCGATCGACGGTGAAGACTGTCGAGATCGACCGGTAGATCGCGATCGACGGGTTGGCGACCACTGCTTTACAGCATAGAGGCCAAATGTAGACACATAATGCTGTATGTGTCTACATTTCAGTTGACCCTGATAGTAGTGTGATTATTCCACTGGTTGTATAATGCATTTACTTAAAAACTTGAAAGACAGAAGCGTGTTGGTCGCACCTTTGATGTACAGAACACTTCAATCTGTGTCTGGAGATAATCTTCTCATCATGTTGAGTATAAATGATATAGCAACGGTGGGAGAAAGTCATTGCTTTGTAAGGCATGAGTAAACTTTTATTAATGGCTATAAAATCATAAGTCAAGGCCAACAAATTCCATTTTAGTTCCACACTGATCTGTGTTCATATTATTAATCTTTATGTGTAAATTGATTCATGGTCATAAAGTCTCATTTTGCTCGTGGTCCTGCATTGTTGCTAAAGCTCTTTGCTGATAAGTTGCAGTGGAGTAAAAGAGAGAAGTATCCTATTGTAAAGTACAAAAACAAGGTGATTGTACCTTGTGACTGCACACCACATGTCTGAACTTAGCACTGATTGGTCTTTATGTGTGTCAATCAATCAGTGAGTTGATTGATAGATGACTGCGTCTCCTCCCTCCAATCTTCCTCCACTCATGTTACTCATTGTGCTATCAACACCTGACTGTCCGGTCACCACAAGTCTGTCAGGACGTTGTTCTATCTTGTGATATTCATACTTCGTGCCTGCCTGCCTGCCTGCCTGCCTGCTTGCCTCCTAACCATTGTCTTTTTCATCTTCCACGATCACTAATCAGTCAGTACCCTGTCATGCTCACCCAGCTCCTCAGCCACAGTCCTCACTGGATTCAAACTCTCTGGACTCCCCCTTGTTTTTTTTTTACCTTGGTAAGATAGTCTCCCTTTGGCCTCAGCCATTCTTTCCCTTTTCTTGGAACATTAGCACATTTACACTCTGTTTCTTTACAGTTACATTGCTAATATCATATGTTGCACAAATTAGGTTTTTTAGTTATCACAATATATAAGGCTGTTCTTTTTGTAAGGGTACATATTCAATTTTGTTGTCAAATTTTGACACACCATCAATATTTCTTCGTAACCTCTATGTTCTCATCTTTAATTCTAATTAGATTAACATAACATCAATATTCAAACATCTTGCTTGCATGCCCTCCAAGAATTTAAGGATTTTGTTAGTGATATACTGCCACTCTATATAATGAAAGCCATCATGTCTCTGACTGATTTGAATAGTTTTATGGATCAACAATGCTTCAGTGCAGCAGAGACAAAGACAAACCTTCTGTGTGAGGAGGGCCTGGACCACCTGGTTAGCCACCTTGAAGAGATACAGAGAAAGAGAAAGTAAAAATATGTTAAAACTATATTTTGACTTTTAGAAAGGAATGTCAGAGCCTTCTTCTTTAAAAAGCAGATAGACTATAAATGAAAATGACCGGGTATGAACACCATCAGAGGGAGTCTAGAGGCGTGTTATATTCTGTGAGGACAAATTGACAGCATGTTGCATCACAAACCCAGATTGAGTGAAATCACATTGAAGTTGCCTGCAGTTAATATACAGTATGTGACTTTGTCCTCGTCACATAAATAAACCAAAATACTGTCAAAAAATCTGAAGCAGTGTCTTTCCTTTCATCGTAAACCATTTGCTTTCCATGGTGTAATTGGGATGATCCTGTTCATGTATTTACAGAAAGTAGAAAATGTCCTGTTAAGTTTGTTTGTTTGATTTATGGCTAAAAACAGCAAATCTGAAATGATGTTTCCACTGCTTATTTTGATTTCTGAAGTAGAAGCACACATTAAACCTTGATACCTGAATAATAACTACAATTCCACTTTTGTGTGCTGAAAAATGATTTCCCTGCACCTCTTTCGTCCATCTATCAAAATGACTCGCCTCAGCTCATTCAGACCATAACATGAAACCTCCTGAATGTGCTCCCCAAAGAATCAGAGATCGTGATCATAATGGCGGATCCTGTACCGTGCTGGCATCTGATCGTAGTAGTGTACCATGATTAAGGTGGCAGCTGATGGTGGATCTTGGTGGCAGCAGTGGATCATGATGATGGATTCTAATGGTGTGTCCTGATCATGGTGGCAGCTGATCGTGGACAATGACAACAACAAGACTGCTTGATGTACAATATGTCTCCTCAGATACTCGACCATTACTGACAATGATTTCTCAATTTATTTACCTTCCATCATGCTACAAACTTTTTACTTTGACCAATGCTGTAATTACTCTACTATTTCTCTGACGTTCTCCATTACACGTGGCATCTATTGCGCTTCTGTCCGTCCTGGGAGAGGGATCCTTCACATATGACTCGCTCTGAGGTTTCTACATTATGTTTTCCCTGTTAAAAGGGTTTTTGGTAGTTTTTCCTCACTCTTGTTGAGGGCTAAGGGCAGATGATTTAACAGCTTGTTAAGCCCTATGAGACAAATTGTGAATATGGGCTATACAAATAAAATTTGATCGATTAATTGATTGTATTATAAGTCCAAAAAGCAACACAGGAGAAATGAATCCCTCTGTAGAAACTTCAGTCAGAAATTGTAGTCCTCTGCCAGATTATGCTAAATTCTTATAGGCAGCAGTCTCCATGGTAACAAGCCCATTAGTGAAGGTGAAAAAAGTGGAAAATTGGAGAGGTTTTACAAGTTGGAGAGAGATGGAGGAAAGATAAGGAAAGAGATGGAGAGACAATCAAAAGTGTTGCCAGGGAGAGAAGGACAGGGAAGGAGTGCATGTGATGGAAGTCTGTCTGTCTGAGTGGTGAGGATCGCTCCTGCAGCCCTCATTCTCAAATCGCCCAGGGCTCTCTTGTCTGTTCGCCTCAATTAGAGATATACCTGTCTCTTGGCTTTTCTCCATGGACTTCACTAACACTATAGATAATAGGTGGAGTGTGTATGTGAGACTCTTAGCTTCAGACGCTGGGGTCATTTCTGACTGAGGCCTGACTACCAGATAACTTTGTCATACTCCAAGAGCAAGATAAGAAAATTGATCCTATTGGTGATATGGATGGTTTTCATGATCAGAAGAAAAGAGAGGGTGGAGCAGAGAAGGAGAGAATCACAATGAGACGTGAAAGTGTTGTGAGGACACTGAGACTCACCTCATCCAGACAGCGTTCATACTGCTTCCTCTGATTGTCATTTTCCATCGACAGAGCAGAGTTCTCAGCCTGTGAAATCAAAACACACACGGATATACTTCAGGACTTACTTTAGAATGCACTGCTCTATGGAAGGTTTTCAAAAGTTTCATGTCAAATACTCATGGTCATTTTAAATCCTAAAGTGCAATATGATAATATGTCCTCTTATGCAAGCAGACAGACAGACAACCAGAAGGATTGACAGACAAGCAGACAAGCAGACACATGGATAGGCTGACAGATCCAGAGTCTCTCTCCCTGCAGGACTCAGGGATTTGTGGGTTTTCTGGACGGTCCTAAATGAATGAAGCTTTAAATTTGCGTTATCCTGCAGAGCCTCACTGTGTCTATAGGGCTCACTTGAGGTACTTAAGGGATACTTAAGGGATAATTCAATTACTACGGTTTTGCCCGACAGGGAACAGAAAGCATTCTGGGAACTCAGGATGTGACTTTCCGCCGAATCCAGTGATCAATCCAGTAAATCTGAAAAGCAGAGGCACCTGTGGTGGTTAGTTTTCACTGATGGGCTGAGGGCAACTACTCTGAACAACAAGTTCACAGAAAACCACAGAAGCTAGAGTACACAATAACACACGGAAATATTAAACCTGGCTGCTAAAATCTGAGTATCTCAGCAATATCCTGAAACTAGCCACAGTAATCCAAGGAAGTCTATATCACTTTTGACTCTTTCTCTTTTCTCAGGAAAAAAATCCAAGTTTATCATTTAAATTTCTAAAAATCATTTGAATTTAGGAAATTAAAGAACTATTTTCAAAACTAAATATTGCATATCACTTACATTACACGAAAATGTAATGTAAATGTTGAGCAGAGTGTCTTACCACCATGCGCCCTTTTTTTCCCACAGTTTATATGGCTGATCTGCAGACAGCATTGAATCAATCAGTGTCAAATTACACTGAAAATGTATTTTTAGTTGAGGGGCTGACATGAGTCAGTGACTCCTGCTCTGTCAAAAAACCAATACAAGCTCAGTCTTTTGTTTATTATTCATCTTATCACTCGTGGTTCTTGGAGCAAATGTTTCATTTTTCATGGCAGGTTACATGTACCCATGTGTGCCATGTGGTATGAAGTACTTAAAACTAAATGGAAAACTCCGTGTTTCTTTGGTTCAGCATCAAAGTTGTATTGCAAATGTGGATTGTTTCCACTGTGGATGTTGTGTGCAAAGCTTTTAATAGAGTGAAGTTGGAATACTTTGTGTTCACTCTACCTGGTTTATCTGCAATGGAGATTTATTATTTTATTAGTTAAATTAAACTGGATTTGATTTATTACTGTTCACATGTGTGGCTTTTATAAAACTTTGAATGATTTACTGAACTGGTGATATTTTTTCACAGTGCATGTTGGTTATTTGAGTAGTTTGTTAGCCAATCGGACCCAAGTTTATAACTTTTCAAAATAAAAGCTCTGTGGGCTGTGGTCTGACCTATTTGCAGATCACTGTTGCAGCTTATCCGAGGATGTAGAAGAAGACATGTTTAACTTGGTCCACAGACTGAAGAACCACTGACCATAACAGAGCTCTGGTCACCTGTTTATTAAAGGTATTAATATTGAATGTATCATGTTGCAAAAGCCGATAAGTTGATAAGATAAGATATGCGTTCCACAGACAGACAGTTTGTAGAATTATTAGGTGGATACTACAAGAGAGCACAATGATTATAGCAAATAAAACCAGTGGCCAGGACCAGAATTAGGTAAAAGTAAGATCCTGCAAACTCTGCAGGCCAACACATTTCTGTGCCTTGACCTTAAAGTCATAGAATAATTGGTTTTACTTATCAAATATTATAATTCACAATGAAAAAAAAAGATGACAGTAGTATTCCATAGATAAACACGAGTACATATGAAAATTCCATCCAGTACTATAACTAAGACAAGAGAGAATCAAATTCAGGTTTTAGTTGTAAGTTTCTTAAGGTTTTGCTGTAGGCTACAGTGGATATAGCAGTGTGATCAATAATGGCTATATTAGACCCTAACTGATCTCATTACCTTTTTCAGCAGAGAAGATGTGACAGCGAGACGTACTGTACATTCACTGGAACACTGACTCCAAATGTTAACTACCCTGTCAGTATTTTAATTATCACCTCTTGGATACCAATAACTCCTTTGGCTGCTGCTCCCCTGCTCCCAGCATCACTCTTCAATAAAATGGGCTTGCATTATATTCCAAGATGATAGACACATGACGAAACATTGATTGAACTTGTTTGTCGTCTACATGTCCCACTGGTATATTCAAATCGAAAAAGATGATAAGAATGACATATGCCAGTGGTTACTTATCATTTGAGAGCTATTTTAAACAAGTAAAAACTGTTGATATCAGTTGCATATTATATTACATGTTATTTCATGTTAATGTATTCTTGAGGGATTCACACCTCAGGCAGGTTTTGAATTAATCTTAGATCTTATTTATTTCCCTAATGATTTAAAAACAGGAATTCAGCATTTTAAGTCAACAAGACCCTATTGGATGCATAAGAATTGTTATTCAAAGCTGTAGCACAGAGGTCTGCAGTAGATTTCGACAACACGCCTGAAGGTTTTGATGAAGAAAAACTATACCACTAGACTATAAATCCTGTAGAGGGCCAGATTTGGTCTACAGACCACAACATGCTGACCTCTGCTGTAGAATAATGTGATAATTAGTTTATTGATCAGTGTAGCAGCTTGTCTGAGTCAAATGTTATGAAAGAACAAACACATTATTCTTTAACAAACCCTAATCGAACCTGTAATCATTCTTAAATAAGCAAGAAGCAAAAGCTTGCAGCAATCAATCTGATCTTCATGTAGCCAGCACAGCAATGTGGAGTCCGTGGAAAAACATCTATGTGTGCTGTTTTAATTCCAATTCTCTATCAGGTAAAAGTTAAACATGTGCTACCCTCAATATATTGACCAATCAGACATTGCAGGGGATAAAGGGAAAGGACAAGGGGTTCAGGAAAATTAATGAGGGGGTGAGGAAAACTTTCTGAAAGGGTAAGAAGTGGACCATGCAATCCGTTTTACCTCCAGGGCTCTGAGTCGCTCTAGCAGGGGATTGCTGTCCTTTGAATTTTCCTCAGATCCACCGCTGGCCTCCGGCGAGGTGGGCATTTCTGCTGCTGTGGCTGGAGGACCCTCTAAACTGTCCTGCTGCTTCCACATTTCCTCCAGGAGTTTGTCCTGGAACACAGACAGTGTGGATGAAAGATGTGAGTCTCAAAGTCACAAAGAAAGTCAGAATAAATTCTCCGTATCAAATAAAGTTCCAGTTAACAACGTTGAATGCTTCATAAATACGATTTCTACTTTGCTGCACTTCAAAGATTTACTGTATCACAACAAAGGGTTTATTCGATCCGGTCATAATAAAGTAAACCCTTTGTAAAACAACATGGATGTGTGGATCTTTCATTTGAGGTAGTTGATGTATGTTAAGTTAGTTATTTGATGCTATAAGAACAGGGTAAAATGCTATGATTGACTGACACGCAATTGGTCAAGGTATAAAGGTAAATTATGTCACCAGCACAAGATTACTTTGTTTTTGTGTCAGGGGATGTGGATGTGTTCTTTATATATAGTGACTGGAGGAGGTATATAGCTCATGTGGTGAGGTTTGTTCATATGTGCAGGGTTTGTGTGTGTTGTCTCTTATAAAAATAAGAGATAAGAGACTTGATTTTAATTCATCACTCATTCATTAGTCAGGTTTAGGCACCGAAACTTGGTTAGGTCGCTGAAAGCCCACAGGATTAAGAGAGGAAATGGAAATTCTTCTTTTGCATATTAATTGGGTGAACTTTATATGTTCTCATGCTGGATCACGTCCACAGCTATAGCTCTTTGTGAGGTCAGTCCCACTGGCTCAGACGCTCAGACAAGCTGCATGTATTCTTTATGCCTCGTGTGAAATGGCAGACAGGCTGGTGAAGGAAGTGCAACATTTAACCAGCCAAAGAGAGACCGTTTATTTACTCACACTGTGGTGCACCAAGTCAAGGCCAAAGAAACTGTGAACTTCAATTTAGTAGATGGACAGAAAAATGATTCCAGTGGGATGTTACGTGTCTGCTCATTAAACTGATTCATGAGATAATATCTTCTTATACTTCAAAAGCTAGAGATGGTTGTGATTGTAGTGGGAGAGGGTCAGATATGATTTTTGTATGGCCTTGTGATTCTGCATTAGATACAAAGGGATTCATTTGAAGCCTTGACATATCTCCCAGTGCTTTTCACTTTAATTAATTATACATATTCAGGTTATTTGACTAAGCTTTGCTTCTTTTGACCCTGTTTTTTCCAAAGACATCAGCTCATCAGGAACAGAACTTCTTCTGCAGCAAGTCACTTCATCATGATTGAGAACTGACATGACCACAACTCTCTGGCATATTGGGCAGCAATTAATATTTCAGTGCAAACCACAGGCCATTCAGTTAGTTTTAAAGAGTTGAAAAGTTGAAAAAGACATGGAATTCAATTACACTGCAAACAATATTAAGGAAATCTCAAACTAGTCAGATCAATGAACAGACTCTGAATTGTGTCACTATTGTCTTGAATCTTAGTCAACATTACCAGCGTGTATATGTACAGATGTAGAAAACTCAGACGAGCTAAGCTGATATGTGAGCCTTTTAGATTGAGATTTGCCTGCATAGAGGTACTCTAATGGGTACTCTGCATTTTCTGTTTGTTTAGATGACTCATTACAGTGTTATACTGTGGAATACAAGAGATCATTTCAGCTTTGTATTTTGTATGAATCAAGTGTCCTACATTTTGTGTTGTGTTTGACTTAACGCTGCAGGAGCAATCTGTCATTATGAGACTAAGATTATTGTGACTATGTAATTATGCATTATTTATCACTTTGCATTAATGATCAGTGTAAAATGTTAAAACTATTTTTTCAAAAGGAGGTATAGAAAGGATATAAGATGAGGCTTAGTTACATAAGACCCATAACTAAACCTTGCTTAATGATTTATTAGTTCACACATTCATCAACGTCGATAAAACTCATAAACCAGCTGACCATCTGAAGTGTGTGTGACAGTGTGTACATCACTGTTGACACAGAGGGATGTATCTCCATCTGGAGACACAAAGTAGTTCTCCACAAACTAAACTATTTAAATGGAAGAGTAACATTTAAGGTTAAATTACTCTTTAGTTTGAATGTGATCAAAAAGGTTGTGACCGTTCTCTTCAACTAATTAAATAAATGCTCACTGTGATGAGGGTTGCCTACAATGCACTTCATGACTGAATATTGATTGAGAAACCATGCAACACCACAGCAGTCACTTTTGATCATTGTTCCCTTTTATTGTTTTCATCCCCATCATTTCTGACATACACATTACAGGGCATCTTGTCACATGGGTTAGTTGTAACATTGTTGATAACTTCACCTCTAGAGGGCGATACTTAAAAGATTGGTGCATCTGCTTGGTCTGATGTCATATCCTGTCCGGGACATGCAAGGCACACTGTTTGCTGAGGTGAGCACTGATTTACCATTTTTCACACTCAAAAGAAAAAAAATTAACTTGACATTTCTTGTGGTAATCTCCTTGTCATTTAAAATCTAAATTAATTTGCACTGAGGAGAGAATAAAGTCTCTTGTTATACCTTTGATAGAGTCTTGCAAGATATAACTAACATTAGCAACATTAGCTTGTCTCAGTGATTTTGTATCAAGTAAGTCTACTGACAACGCCCAGGCCCCAGCTCCCTCTGTGGCTTTCTAGCAAAACCTCTATTCTCACTTATTTTATAATGAAATTGGTACTATATCTAAACATGAATCATCTCTAGGGTCTATTAAAGAGTTAAAGTTGAACTATTGAAAAGTGCAAAAAAAGTTATTGTAAATAAATGTGTGCAAAAAAACTATTGCACTCTGCCAGAGTCTTTTGTTTCACTTTCAAATAGAAAGTTTTTTGCCAAGTCCGAACAACTTGCAAAATGTGGAGACAGGATTTCACTTGATTCAAACTAAAATGAGGGCAAATATAATATATGTGTCACAGCAATGTGACAAAAGTTAAAACAAAAGTGAGGCCAAATGACTTCAACATAATTATTGGGGACTGGATATTGTTTTTGTACCTTGTATGCTTTCATAAGGTCCAGTGGGTCCACCTTGGGGCCCTCCAGTGAGTCCTGGTTCTGTAGAAGTGTTCGCACCGTCTCCTCCATGCTGCATTCAAGAAAAAAAGATCAATTGTTCAGTGTATAGCCCACTGAATGGGTGTTGACTGGTTTTCAGTGCTAGAAATTCTTAAATATATCAATATATCAAAATAAGTAATCATCAGGAATAATTACTATTTATAAGCCATTGAAAGGCCCCCATGATAATTTACTTTGATAAATAAAATACCCTGTCTTAGACCTGGTGGAAAGCGACAGCAAGTGCAGCATAACGTCCTGTTGTTTGAATAGCAAATGCACTTGTGTCCATCTGAGCACCCATGGGTGTGTTGGTCTTAAAATGAAATGTTTTGTGGACTCAACTACTTCACCCAACCCTCCATCAGCATAGTGTGGAGTAGATAATGAGTGAATTTTCATTTTTCGGTGAACTATCCCTTTAAGGGCTCATAAAGAAAGTGCTTACAATGGGTGCACAATGCAGATACACTAACTTCACTCTGCACCATAGACTGTTTTTAAAAAACTCTGCATACGGCATCAAGCACACAAACAATAAAAGTGACATTATATTGTAAAACTGTTTGAGGAGGACTCAGTGATGAAAATAAATAATTCTGAAGTAGCTCTGGAGCATTACCACAGGCCAGACAAACAGCACATTACAAACATGCAGGTTAACTATGAGGACTG